CGCCAACGCACCGCCGCCCACGAAAACACAATGTTGCCAGACAGCAACGCCGCGCTGTCGCCCCATCTTGGTGCCCGCACTGCGTCTACGCCCGGTTGCGTTTAGTTCTCAATAATACGGCGTCGAACGTTGCGGTAGCGTGTTAAACGCTGCCGGTGAAGCCTTAGGATGCCTGGATGCTGCGTACTGCTCTGCACTAACCACAACAGAAAGGGGGTGCGAATGTTCCGCTTCCCAGCGAGCCCTGGCCGACGACAACTATGGCTGGCTCAAGTGAAGCGAGGCGGCTGGGAGCCCACCAGTGCGTCTCGTATTTGCTTGGTGAGTACTGCGTATTTCGTTCACTGTTTTTTCCTGCGGCACACGTATATGTGTTTCGCGGTGTTCGCGAATGAGTAGATAACCGAAGTTGCCGTTGCTGCGTCCACGCATTGTGAGTAGGAAGCCCACAAACGGGACGCGTCCGCGCGTTCGTACGGAGACGCGCTCGCTAGTCTGAGCTGTTGCCACGCTTGCGTTCGTGTCAGCGTAACCTCAGTATTATGTCGCAAGTGTTGTGTGTGGGCTGCGAATTTCTTCGTGCGCTCACGTTGAGAACTGGGTCGCTTACACGACCTGAGAACCGCCGCTGTCAAAAGCCCAGGTGTTGTGTGGTTACAAGGGCTGGGCACCGACGCCGTACGTAGGCTGGCTCCAAAATGGCGGCGCACAGAAAACTATGCTGAATTTGGTGGAAGCTGGCAACAGCGTGCCCCGTTGCCCGCTGGTTTTGGCTGAGTTTCTTGAAGGCACTTATTAAGATGTCTCCACCCTAAAAACGGCCGTCATGTAGGCTCCCTAGCTCCGATACCTCCATTATTGACAATTACGGCCTGTATGGCGCGAACGCCGAGGCCGGGCTATCGTGAGGCCGCCACAGTCGACGCGGAGCGCCGGTCGTAGGAATAGTAGACGCTTCTTGGTGGGGCTGGTTTTCGGTCGTAAAATCTCGAAAAATGATCACCCGCGTTAGAATATAGTCTCTTCGCATTCTCGGTGACGAGAAGAATTAGATGGTATATAAATCCGAGCAGTGCCTGGCTGTATTCGCTGCGAAATCATTCTATGAGAACAGAGCCAACGTGAAGAGCGTCCCTCCAGCTCGGTGATCGCAGCGCCTCTCCTCACAAAACGAGTCAACAAAACATTAAGAAATAAGGGAGCGCACGGGTGGCAAACAACAGCTAAGATTCCTGTGCAGGAGTAAGCAATAATTGGGAGAGACTTCAATAAACCACCCGGATTAAAGCAGCGATAAACACCAGACGCCTCCTTTCAGCTCACCTTGTTCGCCATGTGTACAATTCGCTTGGGCGAGCACTGATCCATTCCGCTAAAAAAAAAAATAAGAAATCAAGCTGCGTTCACTAAATCTCCCATAGTCAAAAAAATGGCTCTAAACTTGTTCTCGTGGTTGGTTCCGGCAGGTGGTTCGGGTCATTGGAGCCACGTATATATAACAAGTTCACCCTTTTTTACGCATAGACATAATATAAAGTACGCATGTGGTATATATAGCCCCTACTTTGCAGGGGCATGTCCGGCACAGGAGAGCACTTGTGTTTCAGGATTAATTATAAAACGTTAAAACCTATAGCACTATACTAGACTACCTGGTTGCGTGTGTTTAGGAACGTGGCCCAAGACTTCTAATCAGGCTTACCTATACAAAATGGTATGTCATATTTATTTATTATAAAAGAGTCACAAAAAAAAGACATTATGCACAGTGGCCGAAACAAGGTTATGAACTACTTCTCAGTGCATTTGAATGATTCACACGGCTGATATATCGGCGTTTGCAAGGTAATTTTCGTTTTTGAGGTTTGACGCGCCAAAACAATGATAATGTTTAGAGACAAGCGGCAGTGGATTGATTGGGAGCGTTTTCCAGGCTCATTTCTAATGGGGAATGAGAGACAGGAGAATTCGGCTTTTAGTTAACGCGCACAGTGCGAATTTTTTATTGTTCAACAACGCACAGGAGAAATCTCCCACCGGCACCACCTTGCAGGTCAAAACGTAAGACTGGTTACACACACTACGACTACGACTACGACTACTCCGAGGGATGAACGGGTGCCGCTTTAAGAAGCTTCGCCCCTAAAAAGTGCGACCGAACACCGGCACTGAACGCACGAAACCGCAGTGGCAGTGAAGCCAGCGGAGAGCAGCCGGTTACTTGGCGCAAAGTTAGACTGCAGCGCCCCACACTCCCTTGAAGTAAATCGCGCCCACCTCGAAAGGAGCAGTTCGGAAACTGAATAAGTATCTGTCTGTAAACGTTGACTGATACGATGCGATGACTGATACCATGCCGGTTCAGGATAATTATGATATCCTATCTGCTGCCCACGGCAAAGCTCGACCATAGCAACACTGCTGTAAACAACTGTTGCGCGTGTGTGCCACAGCCACCGAGCTGATTTCTTGGAGAACTCACAAGACGAGTCGACTAAACATTAAATAAGAGAGCACACGGGTGACAAACACCGGCTAAGATTCCTGTACAGGATTAAGCAAAAATTTAGAGAGACTTCAACAAAACACCCGGATTAAAACATAGATAAACACCGGACGCCACGTTTCAGCTCACTTTGTTGACCGTGTGTACAGAGTGCTTAGGCGATGACTGATACCGTGCCGTTCAGGATAATTAATATATCCTATCTGCTGCCTACGGCAAAGCTCGACCATATAGCTCTGCTGTAAAATTGAAAGTTTCGTTATGTTTATAACTGAAAACACAATCGCCATGTCGCATCATGAGCAAACGTAAAAGCAGAAACTGGCCTCAGGAAGAACAGATAAGGGGGGGGGGGGGATGACGGCATATCGAAGAAGTTGATGATGGAAAGTGGGCGAAGCAGTGGGTCATTGTTGTTAGCGTAAATCACCCGTGATATTGACCCCTCACGCATGTAAATGAGTACCAAGCGGTGTACAGTTATATACAGTGTTAATTCTTCATAAATCATTTGTTGTGTTGAGTTGTGAATTTCGTTTTGCCTTCAATATTACTGCTTTTTGGTGGCGTATCTAGCCTGGAGTTGACAAAGACGAGGTCTGGGCACATTCACCCGTGGTTCTTGGTTGTTTCCAGCTATACGAAATGCGTCGCCGAGCATCTCGAGAAGCCATCTACTGCACAATGCAGTCGTTGTCTGTGACCATCATCGTTATCATCACCGTTATCGTCATCACGTATAGCGGGCCCATTGCAAGAGCTGTGCTGTGATGGCAGAGGGAGAGTGGCTGTGTTCTAATACTCACCGTAGACGGCTAAATAGGCAGCTAAATGGACGGCGACCGTCTTAAGTCCCATTCCACTTCTCACGTAGCTGGCAAAATAGACAGCTCCGAGAAGACCGCATCATAGACAAATACGATGCAGGCTACTTTGCTGTCTAAACAAGATGGCGGCTCAGCGAATTGCTCAAATAAATAAAATCTCGCCGGAACGATCGTCTGTACACAAGCAGACGCTTTCCCAGACGCTCAATGTGAGTAACGTTTATTTGTTTTTGATTTCAACACGAAATAAGCCAGAAAATACAACTGATATACTTGTATATTCTATAGCTTTTTCTTCTCGGCGCGAGGTGGCGCATTGTCGCATTAAAGCCGTCTAGAAGTGTTCCGATTCTCGGACAGCGTGGGCTCAGTGCTGTCTTCTAAGCAGTCTACGTAGACTGTATACGTGCTGTCTAAGAATCGGAACACAGCCATAGTGTGATGGAGAGCGAAGCGTGATCTATTCGACTTGCTAGCTCATCACATGGGTTCCATATTTAGATAACAAAGAAGTAACTCGGGATAACTTCACAACACAGAAAAACGAGGAGGGAGGGAAAAAGTGAAAAATATGTCTTTGTTTTTTAATGTGTCCTAAAAGCACACAACCTGTTCATGTCTTTCAGTGCTGTGAAAGTATTCTACGATGTCTTACAAACTATCCGAAGCTGCACACGTGCTTTTAAGATTCTAAAGCTTCTTTGAATAGAGAAGAGTACAAGGATGGAGGCACTGTCGTGTAACATTCACGTTATTAACAGTGTTTGCTTTCTTTACAAAAAGCGCAAAGATCGATGATGATGACAGTGATGCTCCTCTGATGAATGGCACCTATCATCTCAGAAGGTCGGCCAAACGTCGGGTGCATCATTGTGAATTTAACAGTTTTGATGAATAATAGACATTACAGAACTAATTTATGTTAACTAAAGTTTTGCTGGGGAATTTGATTTTTCTTCTGGTATATCTTATGATGACACGCTTGCGAGCTCGCGCACACGCGCATTTCAAGCATTCGAAACAGAAGAAGACGTCTGTTCTGAAAGGTGCGCGCCGTTCACCGCTGCTCTTGACCAACAGAAAAAAAGGTTCGTCTTTCCATTTGCCATTGCATGCCTTCTGTTCCCTTCCCTTAATGTAATAAAACGCGCACTGACATAGGAACATAAGAGCTAACCTTTATATTGTTACAAATCGGCAATATGGTGAATCGGCGTAGATAAGATTCGTGTACTCGCGTATAACCACGAAAAGAGCCAGCATACGTAGCAAAACTTTGGTTCTAGCTAGTTGGTCATGCATACTTATGTAGGCATAAGACGCGAAGGAATACAGAACAAAAGAAGAATAAACCTGGCACATATCCTGTCTAGTGATACTTGTCCGCGTCTGCTTCGTGCCTGTTTGCATAATTCTGCACACACAATGGGAACGTGTCAGCGCAGGCGGTGTGGGGTTCGTTACGTCACACCTGATTGAAAGCGGACAATCGGGTGGCAGCACCTACAATAAGCCAAGCCAGACGCTATCGTGGTCATTTTTTTTCCGCTTGACCCACAACTCCCTGGTAGTGAGGACTGGCCTATGCAAGCGATGGGGACTCTTGTCTGTACAGTTGTGATTATTTCACGTGACCGCCTATACAGCCAGCCACACGAATCTTTTGACATGTGCAGTGCGTCAGCGGCGAGACTTCTTTACCACTGCGCGCACTTTATCCGAGAACACCTTTGTTGAAGGCACTCGCCGATGACGAGATGCGCACGATAGTAAAATAGCCACGCCACAGACGAACTGCGCGTGGAAAAATTAGTGCTAGTTCAGGTAGGTGTCGTTGATATCACCTTGCGGTATGCGCTCTCGTGTTTACGCTAAGCGCGCTCACGACTGTAATACTTCGAAGTGTGCTCTGTGCCAACTTCGTTCGATTCTGTGCAGCGGCCCAGTCATGGCGAGTGTGGACGAGCCACCGTCTGCCCAGGATCACAACAAGCCATCGACCAGCGGCACTGACCTGAGGGAATACACGATCAGGCCGCTGCTTTGGGAGGAGTTGCCTCTCACCAAGGAACTCCGTCTCGAGATTGGCTTCGTGACTGGGACTCACCACCTGGAGACCCTTTGGAAGACTGACCCTGGTAGCGTCTACGGAGCAATAACCGACGACGGTACGGATATATGGGGGCGAGAATCTAGGGTTGACTTGTACTGATGTCCCATGTGGGGAGGGGTGGGAGGCGTTATTCGAGTGTAATATCATCACATGACCGGGTGATATTGTCGTGACGTCAAGAGCATACGTCAGAAAACTCACTGATAAGCCGACTCCCCCAGTCTCACTCAAACTACGATCAAGTCGTGAGTCTGAGTGAGTCCGGGTGAGTAAAATCATTTTGGTGAGTTTGAGTCTGAGTGGGCTTCACTCATGTTGGCCGACTTACGGTGTTATCTACTCATCTTCAGCATTACTATGAGTTTTACCTGGATTCATGTTCAGACTTACGTCTACTCACAAGTATTCCAGAACAGTTTTGTTCATACACCATTTCAAAATTATTATTCAAAGGAGTGAAATAGGTCAGGGAATGCCTTCTACTCACGCTGCCCCAATCATTCCGGGAGGTTCTTGATAAATATAATGTTGTCGTCTCGTCCAATAAGAATGCCTTTGTTGATTTGCAGCTACTCATAACTGGTGCTCGAAGGTAATATATCAAAACGAGCCAATTTCACTGATTACGTTAACTATTAATGTTGAAGAGCCTTGACGCCATGATCTACAAAGCTAATTTTAGACTAACGGACGAGTGGACTCACTAAGGCTCAGATTGAGCCGTGAATCTGAGCCTGAATGAGTATGGCTGAGTAATATTTCGGTGGGTTCGAGTCCGAGTGAGTCCAGTTGAAGAAAGGTTTCGTGATCGTGAGTCCGGGTCGGGACAATTTCGATTAGTCCGAGTGAATCGTAAGCGGAAAATGTATTCCATGAGTGAGTCTTAGTGAGCTCCACGCTGTTTACTATGGTCATGTGGCATACACGAAGAAAAGAAAGCCGGAACTGCCGCGGGGTCGTGACGTTTGCCAAGGCAGCAGTAATCAGGTTCGTGGCTATAATTTGGGCAGACACAAGCAATGCCCGCTGTACCGAGATAGCGAAAAACGGAGCGCCGGCCTTCGATTATCTGTTAAGCAGTGAAGCACGTTGCCATTTATGCATGTGCCATCGAATATCCCAATCGCTAGCAGCCGCGTAAGCTTCAGAACGATCTCTTATGTACGCGTTGTCAACGTAATCTCAACGGAAGTCACCATTTATGCATGTGCCATCGAATATCCCAATCACTAGCAGCCGCGTAAGCTTCAGAACGAACTCTTATGTACGCGTTGTCGGCGTAATCTCAACGGAAGTCGCCATATATGCATGTGCCATCGAATATCCCAATCACTAGCAGCCGCGTAAGCTTCAGAACGAACTTTTATGTACGCGTTGTCGGCGTAATCTCAACGGAAGTCGCCATTTATGCATGCCATCGAATATCCCAATCACTAGCAGCCGCGTAAGCTTCAGAACGAACTCTTATGTACGTGTTGTCGGTGTAATCTCAACGGAAGGCTCCATTGTCTAGATGGCTCCGTATATAACATTGGCGTGGTTTGAGCAAGGCATCAGATACAAGTGAAACGGGGCGGTAACGTAAAAAATATAAAGAAATGTAGCACGTTGGACAGTAAAATTGCGGGATATGCTGTAAGCCTTTTCAGTATCTGTTCTGGCGTTTTAAAGTATGCCACTTTTCTTTGATGCAAAAGTGATTGATGCTGCTATGCTACCGTACATTGAAAAACGTTGTTTCCGCTAGGTAAGACTTTAGCGGTGTATTCTGATTAGATTGGTTTAAGTGTTGATGTGCGCGAAGTAAAATTTATGAGGCTGCGCTATCTCGTAGCTGCTGCGGAAATGACTATCGTACGCATGACTGTTCTAGCATACGGCTTCTTTTCACGCTTTCAGAGCACTGTGGTGAATGATGATTGCGCCGTAGTAAACCTACATTTCCACTGAGTAAAGTTCCTTAAAACGTTTTTTTTTTTATGCATGTCACTTAGAAGTAACCAATGTATCCATTTGATGTATGTTTGCTCCAATCAAAATAATTATACTTTACGATATTACCACGTATAATTTGATCATTCAGAGCGCCCTGATTCGTAAGAACTTACTTGTGAGATAACAAAATATTGCACCGAAGAAAAAAACTTTCTGTAGGGTCTCAGCAGCGTCGGTTTCCTTTTCTGTGCCCAATGTTCAGTGATGAACAAGCGAGCCCATGCACGTTGTTTTACGCAGTGTGCATGCGAACAAAGGTTCATCATTTGCCTGCAGCACGTGGATTTTAGCATTGTACTATAATAAGCCATCGTACTATGTCATTGAGCGATAACACTGTACTATAATTTACCAGAATGTGACTAACTTGGTGTGTTCACACCTTCTCTGTTCAATTCACGCAGGTGAGCTGTACGGCGTCTGCGCCGTGCCGTTCGTTGGTGTAGACATGGCGTACCTTGCACTGCTGGGTGTCGTGGCCAAGTGGAGACGCCGAGGCATCGGCAAGCGACTGCTCGAGGAGTCGCTGCGCCACGTCGGCACGCAGAACATGTTCCTCCACTGCCTGCCGACGCAGGTCCGCTTGTTCAGGCAAGTCTGGCGTAGCGATTTTTCACAAGCTGCTAGCTGCGCCTGATGGAATACCAGCGAGTATACCGCTGCGCATCAGGTACATGGCCAGCAATATTTCCATAGGAATGAAACTCTCGGCTATTTTCTATCGCCAGTGTGCGTACCGAACACGTCGGGACAGGATATTCGAAGCTGCGACCCGCCGCGCGCGGCGTTAAACCACTAGGCCACCGAACATACATCCTTCAGCGTGCTAATACTGGGCTATTTAATAGATCATTTACCCCTGGCAGTACGCAGAGCTTTAGCGGGCTACATTGAGAAGGCGTGATCGGCGCGCTTTCACTGTCGTTTTTTACCACAGTTACGATGTGTATACACGCTTCCTACACGTAGCACCTGTGCTTTGACCGACAGGACGTGGTGTCCTGTGCGCGCGTGCTCGTTTCGCCAGGGGAATGGATGTCTTCTACTTTTACCAGAAACTATCTATTGAGGTTGCAGAGCGCAAGAACTTCCATTCGCTTGCAGTACCAGCTGCGTTTGCAAAAGTGGGCGAGGACAGCCCGCTTGGCTATAGGAGTCCGGGTTCAAGTATAGGGTCACGATAAAATGCGCATCTCTGAGCATCGGAAGGTGACAAGCATTTTAACCAAACTCTTGACTACCGAAATAACGAATCACTCGTTCTTTGCTGCTCGCTCGTCGCCCCAATCGATTCTGGTTACTAACATGCAGGGACAAGCACAACTTGCAACTCTACGGCCGCGAGCTCAAGTCCCTAGGTCCAGGCAAGCCCAACGTGTCGGAACTGGTGCGGACCGTACTGGGTGTTAAAGTGGAGGCTGTCGGCGAGGAGACACTTCCCATGGTTGTGGGGTACGACGAGAGAGTCTTCGGCTGCAGCCGTCAGAAGTACGTGGAGCTTGCCTTGGCCGTAAGTTTCACTCGTTTTTTTTTCGTATTTACTGCTTGTTCCCACTGTTCGCTCCCAGTAAAATGTCGTAGGATTCGCGTATTGCAACCTGTAGCCAGTTACAACCTATGAATAAACGCAAGCCCCGTCCGAAGAACAGCGCTGCATCTACCAATAATATGTGCAAGAGCGTCGTGTCAGGTGGCTTTTGTTCAGACAGTATGTACGCTTTTGCTGCATGCTATTGCAAGTACCACGCAAATCAGCGATTAAAGGTTCGATGCTCTCTTCTTAATTACTTTGGGACTTAACAGTGATGGCAGTATTGAAAACTTTTTGTTGAAGTGCGCTGAAGACAGACGGACAGAAGAGGCTGACAAGGACAGCGCTTGCTCTCACAACTGAAGGTTTATTAAACAGAAAAAAAGTACTTAAAGCGGATGCATGGTCTATCGCGCATGTGTGTGTGTGTGTGTGTGTGTGTGTGTGCGTGTGCGTGTGCGTGTGCGTGTGCGTGTGCGTGTGCGTGTGCGTGTGCGTGTGCGTGTGTGTGTGTGTGTGTGTGAGAGAGAGAGAGAGAGAGCAAGCACTGTCCTTGTCAGCCTCTTCTGTCCATTTGTCTTCAGTGCGCTTCAACAAAAATTTTCAATCATGAACGTTATCCAACTAGCCCAACTTGCCACCTTGCTGATGGAAGTATATTTGCTGAAATTTGACCGAAAATGGATGTTTTTGGGTGAGCACCAGAGAAAAAATGTCAGTTTGTATGGAAAAGCCCCCGTCCCCAAATACGCGAGACGTAATCGACGTTACAGAAATAATGAGTAACCATTGCAGCATGGAAATTTTCTCGGGGTGGCCGGGGCAGCGACGGTTGCGGATGCAGCTTGCATTTATTTTTACGTTGTAACTGAATATAGTGTATGGTACCGTTCGGCTCAGAGTGAAAGTTGGCGTCTTAGCACGTGTATGTATGTAAACGACAACTAAACATCATTCAAAAACAGTTTTTCACAAAATTATTGGAGAGAAATCGAGCGCTAGTGAGCTGCTGGATGCAAGGGAATGCCGGAAAATTTGAGCTTCAAACTTGACTCGGATTTGTATACCTCGAAGATGCGTTTGGCTTCACGTTAAAATGGTTAATTTCTTACAAAACAGCACGTAATAAGCTATTTTTGTCATTGGACAGGAACTTGTTTAATTCAACACTGGAACCTTCTGCGTCGATGTACAATTTTACGAAGCATAAGAAGTAGCCGATGGCCGCTCAACTTGGCAGGCAGACGACAAAGTCAGCGTTCTCTCTGCCACTTTATGTCGTCTGGTTTTTTTTTTCGGCGCTTGTATCTGCCGTGTAGGTCAATGTACTTTTATTTTAGGATATAATACGCCTGGACAGGATCTGTTTAAAAACATTTTCTTTTAGAGTAGCCTTATTTATGCAGTCGTATTCACTTTTGAGCCGAAGCTTCGCTCAAAACGAGCCAATACAAGCCTCGCAAACATATATATCATCATTCCCAGTGCTCCAACGGGGCTCCTAAAGGAGTTCGGTTAGACAGTGGTGCCACACTTTTATTTATTTATTTATTTAGATACCCTAAAGGCCCGAATGGGCATTAAATAGGGGGGGGGGATAGAGTGGGGTTATGATCACAAGTACAGTACAGAACATAAATGAAGATGGTATACATGTCTATTGCATCGAGAAACTGAAAGTACAATCCAGAAACAACGCCAAACAACAATAGATTACATTAAATGAAAAAAGGGGGTTCACGCGAAATGCACTTTAAAACAGTAAACAAGAACAAAAAAGCGCGATCAGTACACTCAACAACAGTGTGCAAAAAAAAGAAAAAGAAATAAATACAGAGAGAAACATAGAAGAAGAAGAAAAACAAAATAAAGATTTATGCGTCATCAAAGAACTTCAAGAAAGGTTTTGAGTGCATGTTGAAAAGATGATGAATCGGACAGTTCTGCGATGTGAGCAGGTAACGTGTTCCATTCTGCGATAGCAAGGACTAAAGGAGAGTTTTTATATCTTTCTGTTTTAGCGAAAATTGCTTTAACTTCGAAAGTGCAGAGATATCCGGGCAGAGATATAAGGTGGTGGAATGATATGAAGCTGGGAAAACGGCGTGCTACTGTGGTACAGCGAATGAAAAAAAGATAGTCGAGCCAACTTTCGGCGCATGGCAAGCGAGGGAAGATGAAGTGAATTCTTTAAAGAAGATACGCTTTGGTAACGTGAGTACGAGGACGTGATGAACCGGGTTGCCTTGTTCTGGACAGATTCCAAAAGGTTAGTTAGGTTAGCGCCCTGAGGATGCCATATGATTGAACCGTATTCTAGTGAGGGCCGGATAAGACAATTATATGCATGAAACCTGGTTTCCTTGGTGGCTAAATGTAGGCGCCTTTTGAGAAGGCCGAGTTTTTTAAGGGCTTTAGTAAATATGTATTCTATGTGGCACGTTCACTTTAAATTCGCCGTAAAGAACACACCTAAATATTTAAACGATTGAACTGAATCTATTGGAGTATCATTTATTTTGTAGTCAGCGGGAACTGTCTCGGGGGTAGGACTAAATATTATGTGTTTGGTTTTTTCTACATTTATTTTCATTTGCCAGCGGCTACTCAATTCCTCTAGCCTAATAAGATAAGATTGTAAGATAATTGTATCGTCTGGATTAGATATTTCTCTATACACTACGCAATCATTATGTGGCACGCGATCAAAGGCTTTCGAGAAATCAACAAAAATTGCATCAACAGGACGAGACACGTTTAGAGAAGAATGAAGGTCAGTTACCAATTCAAAGAGTTGTGTTTGGCAAAATAGATCTTTACGAAACCCATGTTGGCTGTTTAGGAGCAGTTTATTCAGATTAAGGTGGTTCATTATATGCGTGAATAATATGTGTTCGAGTAATTTACAACAGATTGATGTTAGTGAAATTGGCCTGTAGTTATTGGGAACTGTATTGTCACCAGACTTAAAAATTGGGGTCACATGCGCTGATTTCCAATCATCTCGTATAAATCCTGAATCAAGTGATTGTTGAAAAATCAAACAAAGAAAGTATGACGAAAAGGGACTTGTTAATTTTAGAAGTCTCGCGCTAATTCCGTCTGGTCCGGGGCTAGTCTTGAGTGCCAAACGATCTATTGCGCAGGCTACGCCATGCGTAGTGATTACGATAGCGGAAAACGGGTGTTGAACGGTTAGTGACGGCAAATCAAGAGAGCTATCTAGTGGTCGCTCAGCAGTGAAAACTTGAGAGAAGTAGGTACTTCCCTCTAGGTATTTCATGAGCAACTTTACACAAGAAAAAGCAAACCTGTGTCATGTGTACTCGCAGCGGAAGCTTCAGGAGCAGCCGACCCGGAGCCTGCCGTTAGTGGTGAGAAAAAAAAAAGGGGGGTTCTTGATATATGCTTCTTTTATAGGAACACTTCAGAACTGCTCCTATGTCTTCATAGGAGAAGTTTCAACTCAGTTCGACGTTAATGCACACTAGAGGATACATATTCACAGTGCCTATATTGGTTCGCTACGAACGCCTCCGATGTGGATGCACCTGAATTGATGCCCGTAGTACCACATCTCCCCCATCACGAGAACTAATGGTTACGACAATCAACTGCAGTCCATGTGACGTCATGTCAATGGGCTCCTGATGACGACTGTTTCTTTGGTTGCACTTTAAGAACAATAACACAGTGAGGCACGCAGAAAACCACAAACAGAAGTGACTACCTTATTAGGGAAAGAAGGGGATTATAAGGGCTCGTCTTTTCTTTTTTTCTTTTTTGTTCTTTTCGGCCAGACACAACGTTAATTTGAGCTAACATAAATTAAATTCAAGGAATGTAGGGTCATGCTTTTGTAGTAATTGTGATGTGAACGGGAAGAAAGTAAAGTGGGTGAAAATATAGTTTGAGCATCAAACTTCTTGAACATCAAAAAAGAGGTTGCAGGCTCGGTACCTGCTGCCGGCAAGTTATATTTTCGCCTACTCTAATGCCTTCCCGTTTGCATCATGATTACGACAAAGAACATCTCAAACACTTTTCTTGGCTCTCTTGTCTGTTAGTGGAAACTAATGTTGGTTCCACACTTGTACAGATCAACTTCACACATGCGACCTATGCTATCGTGATATCAAGTTAAGCAAAACAAATTTTTTTCTGACAAAGCAACCGACAGGGAGCTGACCCATGTGAACTCCTTTTTGATTATAGCATGTGACGCTATAATATCTCTCGTGCTTCTATATTTATGATGGCCGATTGTGCGGCAATTTTAAAACAAGGGAGAGTAACCACAATCGAGTCGAAAGCTGCCCAAACTGGGGCTGTGTAACGTATTGTATATGTTCTCTTAAGCGATAATTCAAACACCACCTTGTGTGGCCGATTTATTTCGCGCCACATGTCAATTGCAAACTGCAGAGTCAGACCACCCTTTCAGAGCTGGCCACAAAAAGGTTTTGATGTTTTTTTTTTTTTCGGCACCCTCTTGGTTTGTCCTCAAATGACTTTGTGAGCTCGCATAACTTAAGATAACATAACTAAAAAACACCTCAATACTGGCTTGAACTGCCACTTTCTTCAGCCTGTGGCTGAAGAAAGTGGCAGTTACAGCAGTCTTCAGTAGGGGCTCTCGATAGTAGGTTAAAAACCATAGAGGCAAGGACAGCTGCGGCTGCGGACCTGGTTCCTCGATTGAACGAGCTCGAAAGCACTGTGAGTGACCTAAAAAACACGGTTGAAATTCTTGACCACCGTAACGATGACTGGAAAACCGCCTTCGCAGGAACAACCTGATCATTTACGGATTCACGGAAACGGAGAAAGAGACTCCGGATCAGCTACTGGAAACTGTGCACGAACTCATAAATGTCAAACTAGGCGTCAAGTGTGAAAACATTGAGCGGTGGCACAGGCTAGGAACGCCAAGAAAGAATAGTACTCCACGACCTGTTATTATTAAGCTCATTGATTTTCGTACCAAGGCACAAATTTTGGGCAACGCAAGAAAACTTAAAGGATCAAAAATATACATAAATGAAGACTTCTCGGCACGTGTTCGACAAATACGCAAGTCTTTGTGGCAGCACTCGGTTGACATCAGAAAAAAATGCAGTTCGACTTCGCCACGATGCTCTTATCGTGGACAGCGTCCGTTATAGCTGGGACGAAGCCAGCGGCACCCTTATCACACATTCTCAACACGCGCCTGAGCGGCCGCCCGCGTATGCGCTTTTACATTCACGTCAACCAGAACTTCCAGAATGACTGCGTATTGATCGAAATTTGGTCACTTTGAATATTAATGCGCGTAGCTTAACAAACAAGATTGATAGCTTCAATTAGCTCATCGAATGTCCCCAGCCCTCAATTGTTTGCGTCACCGAAAGCTGGTTAAATGATTCGGTTTTAGATGTTGAAATCTTGCCCCGGGTTATGTAGTTTTACGCAAAGACAGACTATGTGGTCGTGGAGGGGGTGTAGCACTTTTTATCAAAAATCACATTGACTTTTCTTTGCTTCCTGATCTGCCAAACACAGAATCTATCTGGTGCAAGTTAAAAATTTCTGGCCAGGCTATTGCTGTAGGAGCTATTTATCGCCCTCCAAACAAAACTTCTGACGTTTTTTCTGATATTACCAACTATATTTTAGATCGCAAGCTTCACCTAGGCAAGTTAATTTTGACTGGCGATTTCAATGCCCCGTGCATTGACTGGAACAATTTTGCATCCTACGGTCGTGACAAAAAGCTTTGTGACTCGCTCGTAAACATGGCACTGTCATTTGACCTCACTCAAATTGTCACCTACCCCACCCGTGAAAATTCAATACTTGACCTTGTCTTCGTAAGCGACGAATTTTGTAAAAAGGGATACCACAGTGAGGTTGTCACAGGTTTGTCTGATCACAATGCTGTAATTGCGTGCCTCAACACAGTGTGCCCGCCAAAACGACCTGAATTTAAGCGTGTGCTTGATTTTAGTCGTGCCGATGACAACTCTATTATCGATACGCTGTCATCTAGTTTTGAAGATTTTTTTTTCCTAGCAGTGAACACAGTGATGTAAATGTACTCCTTGGTCATTTTCATGGTATTGTGCAGGAGTGCATATCAAAGTTTGTGCCTCAAAAGTTCATTAAACGCAATCCAAAACATCCGTGGTACACACGAAAAATCATTCAACTAACTCGCCGTGTAAAGCGACTTCGCAAAAATTGTCCTCTTTTGTCAGCTGTGCGATCACCACTGCTTAATTCTTTGAAGTGTACTTTGAAGGCGAAAATGCAGGAAGCGAAAAATTTCTATTTCAACAATACTTTGTCACGGTTTATGGTAGAAAACCCGACCAAATTCTGGAAGTCTATTAACCCGAAGTCATCTGTTCAGTCTTGCTTCCTTATAAATGACCAATAATTCTCCGATTCTAACACTATTGCAGAAAGCTTCAATAACTATTTCAAGTCCGTTTTCTCTCGTGATGATGGCACTATCCCAGATTATGCTTGCAACTTTGTTCAGTCTACAATTCCAGACATCACAATCTCTTGTTCAGGTGTTCACAATTTGATACTAAAATTAGATGTGACTAAAAGTTCCGGTCCTGATGGCATTCCTAATACGTTCTTGAGGCGGTACTCCGAATGGTGCGCTCATTACTTGACTGTCATTTTTAATAAATCGTTTGCGTCGGCCACTGTTTCCATACCTTGGAAGACAGCTAATGTAGTCCCGTGATTTAAATCTGGCAATAAGCAGCTCATTCCAAATTATAGGCTAATTTCCCTAATTTCAACAAGCTGTAAACTACTGGAACATATCATTCATAAACATATGGTTGAGTATTTGGACGCAAACAGCCTTCTGTCCCGGTGTCAGCATGGCTTCCGAGCTGGATTTTCTACAACATCGCAGCTCCTAGAATTCACCCATGACATTGCCACATCACTTAACAAAAGGGGTCAGACAGATGCAATTTTCATAGACTACTCGAAAGCTTTCGACAGCGTATGCCATAAAAACTTCTTCTATAACTTAGTTCCTTTCTTAAAGATTCTAAATTACTCGGTTGGATTGCGGATTATTTGCGTTCTCGATCTCAGTTCGTTACTTTCAACCAGGTGCAGTCATCCCCTGTTGAAATCACATCCGGTGTGCCGCAAGGCTCTGTGCTAGGGCCTCTCTTGTTAATTATATTTATTAATGATGTTGTTAATGTCATCTCTGGAACCCCTGTAAGCATACGTCTGTATGCCGAAGATTGTGTACTGTATAACTGCATTACTACCTTTCAAGACCAGTCAGTCCTCAACAACGTATTTTCGTTATTCTGCGATTGGAGCTCAACGTGGCAAATACCTATAAATTACAAGAAAACTGTAGCTATGACTTTCTCAAATAAAAAACAGCCTCTCAGTTTCAGTTATAACTACAATGGGTCCACCCTAGCACATGTGAGTGAATTCAAATACCTAGGCATCACCTTTACACATAACCTTAAATGGGGCAAACATGTTGATCAGATAAGTTGTCAAGCTCTAAGGAAACTTGGTTACTTAAAGCGAAGATTGAAAAACTCGACAAAAGATTGTAAGTTAACTGCCTACAAGACACTAGTGAGACCGATGCTCGAGTACGCCTCTGTGGTTTGGTCGCCTCATCTTGAGCAAGATAAAAACAGGTTAGAATCTGTGCAGAATAAGGCTATACTGTTCGTTTTTAACCGTTATGATCGGGACTTCTCCCCGTCTTCACGTGTTCATTTGTTGTCACTTCATTCACTGGAACACCGCCGTACACGTGAGAGTATTATCTTGTTGCACAAGATTGTACACAAAATGACCCGCGTTCACGCGCCCTTATCTTTCGCTGATATACCAGCGCGTACAACACGTAGTACAGACGCTTTGAACCTTGTACCCTTCAGGTCTCGTTTGGATTGTTTCGAATTCTCTTTTTTTCCGCATGTGGTGGAAGTTTGGAACAAGCTTGATGGTGCATTGCATAGAATGAACACTGTAGAGTTCGGGAAAAATTTTATGTGTTAGTCACATAAATTTGTGCGTACTGTTGTTTGTTTCTGTGCTTTCGTTGATTTTTCTGTACCCGCTCCTGCAATGTCCCAGGCATGGGACAGCAGTATTTGTAAATAAATAAATAAATAAATAAATAAATAAATAAATAAATAAATAAATAAATAAAGTTTTATGAACATATGGGTTGACTGTAAAAATTTTTTTTCTCTTTGATAAAGTATATTCAATATTATCCGGACCAGAGAGAGGAACTCATGGCTTGGGTAACCCTCCGCGGTTAGATGGGCTATTATTCACGGCATCTGGTCACTGCTGCAGGACTACAACATTTCCGAAGTGCCCTTGGATAACAACGGCGCACAATGCCTCACTTTACAAAAAGGGCGTGGGAATTTAGTGAGGCTTGTTAGAGTGCAAGCGCACTACAGAAATATAAAAGGCAAGGCCATATATAATCATCGCCTCCATAAGAGCCAAATTTGCAGGCAATCCAGTACGATGAAAGGCTGAAGGCATGTTTGGCTTCCTCGCGTATATCCTTTACCTTGTTTGTTTATTCCTGTGGCTATGTCTCTCAATTTATTTTGAACCTTACCTTCCCGATACTCCTCCCCTTAGTACAATGTAGCAAACCAAACGTTTCAGTTTTCGTTGACCTCTGTATTTACCTCGTACTAACTCTCTCATATCGAGGGGGCGAAGTCTTGGCGTAAGCGTCTTGTGAAAGAGCACATCTGGGTCCGTATTAGCGAAAACCATTTGTAAGTTTAAAGCTGCAGTAAAAGTATTTCAGCAAATGAATATACAGAACATGTGATTGCTGTAGTGGGCTGATCAATGGCAAACCGCACTTGTGTAAGAGAAGTGTTGCGAACTTGGCCCTTGGATGCGTGTTGCTACGACGCGCTTTTTTTGCACACACGTAAGCAACGTGGCGTAACACCCTTCGCAGGAGGCGGACGTGTGTGCGGCGGTGGCGCGGCGTGGCTCGAGGAGGGTGTGCGGCTACGGCTTCTCGTCGGGCGACGTCTACGGGAACCGCGTCGTGCGCGGCATCTTCGCCGACTCGGAAGAGATCGCCGAGGCCCTCATGGCGTACGTGCTGCAGGACGCGACCGTCGCCACCGTCATCGTCCACATGAAGGACTCGGAGGACACCTACTTCGAGAAGAAGATCGGCCTCAAACGCAGCTCCGACATCAAGACGCTCTTTCGCTGGCCCTTCAGGGGTGGAGACTTCACGAGGATATACGCGACCGCCTGAGCCCGGCGGGCCACCGGCTGCATTAAAGACATGTCTCCGTGCCCGCGTGGCATGAACGAGCTTTTCGAGCTGTTTGATGTCTCTCAAAATTAGGCAACAGATGAAACATAGCCATGAGTGGACAAAAAAAAAGTGAACTACCGCACTCGCTAACGAAATGCATTTTACTTTTAGGGCTCACTGGAACTCTGACTCGCCGTATTTTTCCTCTACTGAACTTACTCGCACTCAAACTCACAAATATTTTACTCATTTCAACTCAACGACAGGGACTCACGCCTTGATATTAGTCTGAGGGAGTGACTGAATTGACTCTTTAATGAGCTTGGAAAGTTTTGACCACAGCTGTGCATAAATTTTGTTATTCGGTTGCGGCTTTTCGCTCGTAAGTTTTGTTCACTGTCACCAGCTGGCCTCGCTGTTAAGATGTCCAGCATAACGATTGGCTAACGTTTTTTTTTTTCTTCAGATTATCCCTTGAGTAAGTGACTTAGGAACGTGAGCCTCCTTTAAGAAAAAAATTGCCAACAATGTCTAACCATATGCGTGTTAACTTCATTATTTCTTGTGGCTTAAGTTTTCTTTATTGGACAGCTTCAATTGGGCGACTACTGAATCTTGTTTCAACGTACATGTTCCTCTTCAATGGTTACAAAGAGATGTGACGACAACACGGAATTAACTCTGCGCTAGCTAGAAGCGGAAAACTAGAACTATTGAAATTCGCCGCGAATTATCTTCCTTCTTGAAGTTCGTGCAATTCAGGAACAATATTGGTAAATATCTGATTGCACCAATGAAGGAAATTAAATAAATAATAGCACAGGAATATATTTATTAGATTATGCGAGCTTATACCCTCTCGTAGTATCCACTTGATAATGTTTATGCGTGATCACTGATTGAACTGGCGTTATTGTAACACTTTTTGTGAAAGGAATGCTGGTTCTTGTCAATGTGTATGAACGAGCCCTAACTCCGATTACTGAATAAAGGTGCAGGGAAGACGATGGTCGAGTTATAAGGGTGGATAGCCGCCATCAGTTACACCTACTAATTATCATATCCTCCACGCTGACCGTTATGATGGCTATATATAGAACTCTAGTAGATATTGGTATCATAATATCCCTTATGAATTTCAGCACTCTATCATGTTGTTACTGACTGTTCATATGACCGTCTTTTCCGTGATTTTGACTCACGGCGACCGGGTTTAATAAAAGCGACGACATTACGTGTAACCAAAATAAACGAGCACTAAGTTTTTTTGTTTGTTTTGTCGTCCCGTTGAACCCATTCCTGCAATATTCATGCAACCTGGTTGGAGTAGAAGAAAACAAAAAAAAATCCATGCATATTGACGACGTGAATGCTGATGATGGGGTGAAGCAGTATGCATCCACCACGAATCGTGGCCTTCTATTTTGTTTTGGTTAACAGGTCTTTATTCTGTTCTTGTTAACCCTTTTGTTCTGTCATGTGCTCTGTTTGATGGGTGCTTTCCGGTGTTTTGGTCTTTTATTTTGTTTGTTCTGTTTAACAGCCTTTTGATAACCTTTTTATTGTTCACATATATTTTGGTTTCTAAATCTGCTGCAGACGTCGGGCGGTGCTTTTTGGACGGTGAAACAATGCGTTGTGTGCTTCACCCCTATAAATAAAAACCCAGCCAAAGCCCACCAACATCAGTCAGTGGTAGCAAGTGCTGGTTGTGTGCGAGCAAATCTGGTATAGATCGTTTCAGCGCCGTTCAGAAATTGTGGAAAATTTCGCTAAGATACGACTATGACATCGCATATGAAACTGCACTTAAACTGTACAGTTATTCAACAACAAAAATTTTCGTCTGCTGCGGTTCAGTCGAACCACATTGGTTTCGGTTTGTTGTGCGCCCGAACACACAATCCCGCACCGTGCACTCGCAAGCTTATACCGCAACGCATACGGGATATCGATCGCCTCTAGCTCGCGAAGGCGGGCTTTCCCCTGTTTCCTTCTATCGACCGTGGGCGCGCCGTAATGGAGCCTCAGTGCCCTGCTCTGTTCTTGACAGCGGCGACGCTCGAGACGCCATTGGCCGACAGCTGCCCCTGGCAGACGATAAATTGTGCGCCAGTCCGGCCCTCCAACCAGCGTTGGCTCGCGCCGCCCCGGGAACGACTTATATATATATATATATATATATATATATATATATATATATATATAAAGGGAAAGAAGTTTATACCTAAGGGCTCGTTTTTCCGTGTTTTTGACACAATATTAATGAGATCTAACAGACAGTAAGGCCAAGGATTGTACAGGGGAAGTTATTAGAACCGATGGAATGTAAATAAGAAAGAAAAGTGGGTGAAAAAATAACCAGCCGTGACCAGGAATCGAACCTACGACCTTCGAATAACGCGTTCGATGCTCTAACCACTGAGCTACCACACCAGCCATCCCTCCATCCACTTCTTTTGGGTTTATATGTGAATTTAGAAGTAGGAGTGTCAGTCAGCGCCATCTATATTGCAAGCGACGAGTGTGAAACACTCTTTTATGCGCATATGTGGCGTCACGTAGCACGTGAACTTATTACGGGCGGGCAGCTGAATAATAGTCCCTCGTATACAACCTAATGACACCAAGTCTTCCAGTAGAAGACACTCGTTAATGAATAAGGGAAAAAAGTGTATACCTAAGGGCTCGTTTTTCCGTGTTTTTGACACACTATATATATATATATATATATATATATATATATATATATATATATATATATATATATATATAGGCAGGCATGGTGGTTGAGTGGCCGTAGCGTTGCATATAGTCCAGTAGATCCTCCGTGAGTGGTCACAACGTGGTTTATTTCGACGTTTCGGCCTAGAGTCTGGCCTTCATCAGGATTTATCAGGATCCTGACGAAGGCCAGACTCTAGGCCGAAACGTCGAAATAAACCATGTTGCTACCGCTCACGGAGGATCTACTGGACTATTATATATATATATATATATATATATATATATATATATATATATATATATATATATATATATATATATATAGTGCGAGCGCCTTATTTGTAGAGAACTTCGACATTCAGACATACATATTACTAGAGGGAGAAAACTCTGGCGCTATAGTGCCTATAACAGATTCAAGCACAGTGGTTGATCCAGCCCATCTTAGGAATTCAGCTTAATTCACTGATTTGCCAAAACGTAGTCCAACTTCATATAACGGGACTTTGCGATTTTGCAGATTGGACAGTACTTATTGCACGTGCAGCCGTGTAACTCGATCAAGCATAACGGTTCTGTATATAATATGAAAGGGCACTAGAACCCGTTCTCTTCAAGCTTAGAAGAAATAAATAATGTCACTCTGACATTTATGCTAATCATCGCACATAAATTACGACATTCAGTTATTAAAGCTGCGCCACAAAGATAAGAAATAACCCGAAGGTCGCCGAACGGAACTTCGGCCAAAGGCGGCCGCATTTTCGTGGAAGTGAAAGACTGGAGGCCCCTGTTCTTAGAAGTTTAAAAAAACCCAAGAGATCAAAATTCAGCAGCCCTTCATATGCGGTGTCCTGATAACCATATAGGAGTTTTGAGCCATGAAACCTAAAAAAAAGCCTGTATCAAAGCTAATACAAAATCATTTACTGTCCTTTTCGAAGACCTAAGCGGTGGCAATGCCGCGTTTAACGAAGCTTATACGGCACCTTCGGGTGGTCGTTTCCAAACACTCTGTTTTAAAGTGGTTGATTCAGCCCCTTTAAGTCTTTACAACAAGAGCAAGGAAGCGTGCACGTTATGCCCCTCTTCTTTCTGGTCATATGTTTGCCCTATTCCACCAGTGGCAGTGCTTAGTTGCAATTTTACGTACATCTTTTTTTTTTTGGATTTCTCCACAGCGCTCAAAAACGACCAGTTGTTGAACCAGTTGTGTACCAGTTGGGTACTACCAGTTGTGAACCAGTAGTATGTACCAGTTATATTAGTTGAACAAAGAGGCTGCAGCTGCGATTGTAGCCGATAGTGGCTGTGTAATTGTCCTCCTTCACAGCATAAGAGGGCGCCTGAAACGGTAACTTTGTTAGGCGTACAGAATTCACAATTGGTAGCGTTAACGTTCGCATGTGCACCTCGGCTGCTGTCAGTGAACTGTCTGCCGCTGTTGAGCTGTGGTGACGCTGCTAAGCTGCCGACCCAAATAGTACAGCAACGCCGGCATACAGATCGCCATAGTGTTTATTCTGTAAGTTTACCAAGACAATTTTTTTTTTCTTACCTGAAGGAGATCATCCAACCACCTCGTTTAAATGCTACACTAATTTCTTCTTGGATGGCATTATGCTTCAGTGAACCAGCACTCCTCTTGACATCGCGAAAATTACAGCGCCTTATCTTCAGGACGTACTGCGGGACTTTTGAGTTCAATTTTTCTTGTCGACGAAATACTGGTTTGTTTAGCCGTGCAAGCACGGGATTGTCAAGACTTTGCGCTAACGACAGAGTTAAGAATAACAGACAGCTGAATCAGTTGATAAGTGTTCATTTTGAGAAAGACAGGTTACGTAAACGCGCACGCAAGAAGAAAGTGACGACACCACAAATGCCTAAAAAGGCGCTTGTGATGTACTAACTTCCTTTTTGTGAGCGTGCTTGCGCAACCTGTTTATTTAGAACCAAACGAGTTTGGAGAAGACAAGCTTCTTTTTCTATATATTTACGCAAAGTCTACTTAGCCGCTCCCGTAAAACATTACAGAAGAAAATTTGAGCATTGGCCAGACTTATTTTCAAGGCTCATGGAGGGGACGTTATTAGTTTAAGTAAGTATTTTCTAATCTTTGAGATACCTATTTAAAGCTCTATGTGTGTGCCAGAGGCTATTTAGTTCCTGATGTTCTTTCTTTTGACAAGTGACTTTCGGAGTTTACGTGACACCTTGAGCACTACCTCCTGAACAAGGTATGTACGTCAATTGTTTCGGTGATATAGCCAGTGAACTGAGTTTTTGTTTTTCTAATGAATTGCAACATAAGACAGTCATAACATCGTCTTGCAGATAAGGCGACGTCCAACGCAAGGAACCATAATCTTGCTCCCTAATGGCTCATTCCAGCAGCTAGAAATTTCGCGATCTGCAATGTAGACCAGCAGACTCCTTTCAGGGACCACAGTGACAACGCGTGTAACAACGAACGCGCCGGTCAGAAAGAAATTCGTGCCATTTCGAAGCCACAGTGCCGGCGTTCCCACGTAGTTCGTCTCGTATTTCGGGAAGAGACGGCGCATGCTGGACCAGAAGCAAGATGAAAGAAACCGCCCCCCAATCGGCCGTACAGTTGTGTCACTCTTGCCGGCGTGTCGATCACTCTGACCATTCTGTTCGAGCGACGCAATGACGCGAACGTATACGGCCACGCAATCCGCGAACAAATGGTGGCGCGACATTTGTGTGAAGCGGAAATTGCTGTCGGCGCGGCATTCTCCGTTCACGGGAACGACGTGGCCGCCCTGCTTTGGTGTTTTTCCTGGGTTGACGCGGTGGTGTACAGGCGACGGTTCCATACTGAATCTGCGGCTGTGTTGCAAATCTGTAGGCACCGCAGCGCAAGCGACGGTCTCTGATGGCGCGTGCGCGTGCCGGGCCCTGTTTTTCTGGGCGCATTGTTTCCACCCGGCCCTCCGCGGTCACGTGGCACCAGTTGAGGTGACCGCAGGGGGCCGGACCAGTCAGAGAGCCCGAACGACGCAGCCGCCAACAGGGTGCACGTGTTCGTGCCGAGCCTGCGAGAGAACTCGTTAACAGCGCTGCCCAGTGTCGCGTCGAGGAGGATGTACCCCCTGTCGCTATGCCTTGCCGTTCGTCGTTTTTTTTTTCTCAATCCGTCATTATTATCTTCATCGTTCAGTTTTTCTGCATTAGTATTTCTGTGGCGACTCGCATATCGTTGTGCATGATTGTTCAGCGCATATGTGACGGAGAAATGCGAAATCACATTGCGACACCAAACATGTTACTTTTTTATCGACATTGAATATCGGCCTCATAAAGATTTTATGCTAGGTAGTATATAAGAACCTAAGAAGTGTAAACGATTACACATACGAAGTGCGACAACAGCGTCTCAATGTATATGCGAATTCATTTTTTCCCAAAACAATTCGTCAGTGGAATGCTTTGCCATTACCACTGGTTCATTGTGATTCCCTGGAAAAGTTTGAGGAAGGGCTCAAAGATATTTTTCTGTAAGC